AGTGCTACTTGGAGGTATATGCAGTACAATGCAGTGAGCCATATGTCAATCTGTACATTGGGGAAAACAAACAACCACTTCATAAATGCATGGCACAACACAGAAGAACAAACCCATCAGGACCAGAGTCAGCAGTCCATCTGCATTTAAAAGACAAAGGCCACTCTTTCGAAGACAACAAAGTCCACATTTTGGACAGAGAGGACCTCTGGTTTGAAAGAGGGGTCAAAGAGACCATCTATGTCAAAACTGAACAGCCCTCTTTCAACAGAGAGGAAGGGATCCTACATCATCTATCTCTAGTCTACAACACAGTCCTTTCGACAGTTCCAAGAAAGCTCCACACCCATTTCCACTATTCGGGTGTCTTTGAGGACATAGGTAAACCTCCAAATGGCCTCTCCGACTCTCTAAAAGAATGCAAATGACCAGCTGTCTGGTCCCCATCATCCAGTCAGAGCTGAAGAAGCTTGATGGATGAGAAGCGAAATGTCTTCAAAGAAAAACAAGAAAGTCCAGTTGCCTCGTGAAAAAGTATTTTTTTGTAAAGAAATTTTTATTTTCAATTTTACAGTACATTACATTCATAAAAATACTTCAGATAAAGAATAAAGCAAATGCACACAACCTTTGGTATTGCTCACCCATTTCCTCCCAAACCGCATCCACCCTCTAACCAACTTCCCTCTTTCCCTCTTCTTCCTCTTCCTCACTCTCCCCCTCTCCTCCTCCTCCTCACCCTTCCTACTTGCTTCTCCCCTTCTTCCTATCTTCTCGCTCCAGATGCAGTTCAGGGGAAATGCCCGAGCAATTCCTCTCTCCAGATTAAAACATCAATATTATATACAATAAAACTATTTCTACTTATCTGAGCTACTTTAACTTGAACCCATCCTCCCCCCAACCCTCTCCCCCCCTTCCCCCCGACTTCCCAGAGCCAAGTACAGGGTTATACAAATATATTAAACATAATCTATTTAAGTTTACTAATTATACAATAACCAAAATCATACTAACCCTTAACTCTCTTCAAACATTAACATCATAAGTTTATAAACAAATTCATTACTCATAAAATAAGTGAAACTTTATAGTTCCATACTTCTTCTGAACATATTCTATCCATCTTCTCCATATATTAAAATATCTCTCTTGTGAATGGTCCTTTAAATAAGCAGAAATTTTAGCCATTTCTTCTAAATTAGAAACCTTAAATACCCATTCTTCTAAAGAAGGCAGAGAATCCTTCTTCCAATATTGACCCACCAATAATCTTGCCGCTGTTATTAAGTTCAACATTAAGATAGTTTCTTTAGCATCAAAATCTACAAAAATACTCAAAAAACAACAACTGGGGAGTAATCTTCCTTTTAAAAACCTTTTGAATGTTCCACCAAATCATAATCCAGAAGGCTTTAATATTTTTACAAGTCCACCAAACATGAAAATAGGTTGCGTCTAAGCAACCACATCTCCAACATTTAAGTTGCAGGTTCGGGTACATACAAGACAACTTTTTAGGATCCAGATGCCATCTATAAAACATTTTATAAAAATTTTCCCTCAAGTCTATATGGAGGGAAGTGTGTAGTGGGGTGCCCCAGGGCTCTGTTCTGGGCCCAGTACTCTTCAACATCTTCATCAACGATTTGGATGAAGGGATAGATGGGGAACTCATCAAATTTGCAGATGACACCAAGCTGGCAGGAATAGCCAACACTCCAGAAGACAGGCTTCAGGTACAGAAGGATCGGGACAGACTTGAACACTGGGCACTAACTAACAAAATGAAATTCAATGGTGAAAAAAGCAAGGTTCTACATTTAGGCAAGAAAAACCAAATGCACAAGTACAGAATAGGTGGCACCATGCTCAATAGTAGTAACTGTGAGAGGGACCTCGGAGTCCTAGTAGACAATCACTTAAATATGAGCCAGCAGTGTGCGGCAGCTGACAAAAAGGCCAACACAGTGCTAGGCTGCATTAACAGAGGGATAGAATCAAGATCACGTGAAGTATTAATACCACTCTTCAATGCCTTGGTAAGGCCACACTTGGAATACTGCATCCAGTTTTGGTCACCACGATGTAAAACAGATGTTGAGACTCTAGAAAGAGTACAGAGAAGAGCAACAAAGATGATTAGGGGACTGGAGGCTAAAACATATAAGGAACGGTTGCGAGAATTGGGTATGTCTAGTTTAACGAAGAGAAGGACAAGGGGGGAAATGATAGCAGTATTCCAATATCTCAGGGGCTGCCATAAAGAAGAGGGAATTAAGCTATTTTCCAAGCACCTGAAGGCAGGACAAGAAGCAACGGGTGGAAACTCATCAAGGAGAGAAGCAACCTAGAACTAAGGAGAAACTTCCTGACAGTGAGAACAATTAATCAGTGGAACAGCCTGCCTCCAGAAGCGGTAAATGCTCCAACACTGGAAGTTTTTAAGAAGAGACTGGACAGCCATTTGTCCGAAATGGTGTAGGGTTTCCTGCCAGAGCAGGGGGTTGGACTAGATGACCTCCAAGGTCCCTTCCAACTTTACTATTATTATTATTATTATTAAGTTTTGAGCCTGTGTAAATTTAACATTTCTAGTTCAAATTACCTCCCATAAATCCAATGAAATCGGTTCCTGAATATTCTGGGCCCATTTAATCATACAATCTTTTACTAAGTCTGTTTCCGAGTCCAGTTTTATTAACTCATTGTAAAATTTTTTAATATGGGCATATTTCTGATCCTTTATCTGAATCACCAAATTTTCATCATGAAAATAGAAAAGCATTTTTGGGATCATGCTTTGGTGTTGTTCAGGGTCTCAGCTCCCTTAGCAGCTGGGACCCTTTTGCTGAAGCACTTCAATAAAAGTTTTGTGAAAGTCTATCACCCATGTCTGGTTCTGATCCACTTCTGCACCAGGCTGAACCATTTTGGGGACAACTCCCTTCTGGTTGGGCCCAACCCTATTTCCAATTTATGGCGGGCTTATTGGTATGGCATAAGGTTGAAACGGCAGTAGTTTAATATTTGTGTTGATGTCAGTGCACAAAGAAGATAGGTGTCGAGATCCACCTTGAGAATCCAAATAAAACTCCAGGTTCATTCCGTTTCCAAAAATCTTACTGTTTATTGAATACATGGCATAGTAATATCAAAGCAAATCTAACTCTGAGGTTCCCAGACACCAGTTCATAGAATTAAACAATAATTTCTCTAGCCAAAACCCCATCTTCTCACATAGTTCATGTAAACAATTTCACTTTGCTATGGGAACCATCTGCTTCCTCTCCACACCTGCTGTAGTGTCCTTGGAAAGGTTTCAGGCTTTCATCATTTTCAGCAGAATCATAGAGGTTTCATTTCTTTATCTAAGCAATTCTAAAGCAACACCTTTCCTCCCTCCCATACTCTACTGGCAAGTTGAAACAAAGAGGCATGAATAATAATAATAACAACAAAAACAATAATAGTAATAAAGTTGGAAGGGACTTTGGAGGTCATCTAGTCCAAGGCCCTGCTCAGGCAGGAAACTCTATACCATTTTGGACAAATGGCTGTCCAGTCTCTTCTTAAAAACTTGCAGTGTTGGAGCATTCACAGCTTCTGGAGGCAGGTTGTTCCACTGATTAATTGTTCTAACTATCAGGAAATTTCTTAATTCTAGGTTTCTTCTCTCTTTGATTAGTTTCCATCCATTGCTTCTTGTCCTGTCTTCAGGTGCTTTGGAGAATAGCTTGTTTCCCTCTTTGTGGGATCCCCTGAAATATTGGAACACTGCTGTCATGTCACCCCTCGTCCTTCTCTTCATTAAACTAGACATATCCAATTCCAGCAACCGTTCCTTATATGGTTTAGCCTCCAGTCCCCTGATCATCTTTGTTGCTCTTCTCTGTACTCTTTCTAGAGTCTCAACATCTTTTTTACATTGTGGCGACCACAACTGGATGCAGTATTCCAAGTGTGGCCTTACCAAGGCAATGTAAAGTGGTATTAACACTTCATGTGGTCTTGATTCTATCCCATGGTACATACTTATGACCATTGCTGTGTCCCAAGGTCATGTGATCTCTTTTACAACCTTTTGACAAGCAGAGGCAATGGGGAAGTCAGATTCCCTTAACAGCCTGGCTAGCAACTTACCCACCACAGTGAATCACTGAAGAACGGTGGCAAGGAAGGTCATAACGTGGGGCAAAAACTCACTTAACAAACGTTTCACTTAGCAACAGAAATTTTGGGCTCCGTTGCAGTCGTAAGTGGAGGACCAACTTTACCCCTAACCGTCGTCTGGTCATTAGCACTCTGAGACTCATTGAGGCCACTTGGGGGGGGGGGGTATCTGTATGCTCAACGTCACCTGAATCAGAGTGTAAATTGGGGTGAAACTTCTTGGAAGGGTGTTCTGAAAGGACTGCATTCTGCTGAATTGAGGAAGATTCTTGGATGAGAAGCAAAATCTTTTCAAAGAGGAAAAAAAACACCTGAGAAAGTCTAGTTGCCTTTTGGAAAAAGCATCTCTGGGATTGCTTTCTATCATTGTGATAATTGTTGCATAACCTTGTTTTATTTGATTGTTGTACCCTGCCCGTCTTGCGAAATGGGTGGCCATATACATTTGTTAAATTTAAATTTATCAAACTAGATTGGCAACCTTGGCTCTTTTATTCCAGTGCTGGCTCAGGAATTCTGGGAGTTGAAGTCCACGAGTCATAAAAGAGCCAAGGTTGCCTACCCCTGACCTAGAACAAAGGAGAAATTTCTTGATAGTGAGAACAATTAATCAGTGCAATGACTTGCCTGTAGAAGCTGTGGATGCGCCAACATTGGAGGTTTTTGAGAACAGATTGGACAACCCTTTGTCTGAAATGGGATAGGGTCTCCTGCTTGAGCAGGGGGTTGGACTAGAAGAACTCCAAGATCCCCTCCAACTCTATTGTTCTGTTCTGTTATAAATAAATAAATACATTTGACAGAGATACAGCAGGAAATAAAGGGGACATAAGTATATCAATAACAAACATAAATTAAACCTTCCACTTAAATTAACTTGACAGCAGGGGCAGTAACATTAATCACATTATAGGAAAAGACTAGCAAAATATTCAATTGTCCCATTACGAATATTAGGTTATAAAGTGCCTGTTCTGGGGCTGAAAGAAGCTGAAAGAAGCTCTTAAGGTTGATTCTCCAAACAGTCTGAAAAGAAGTCCCAAAGTGGCCAAGATTTTGGGTGCTCTTTAGCTGTTCACGCTCTCTTTTCTTTGATGTTCTGCAGAGGTAGAATGGGGGTGGGGGAAAATCAGAGCTGGAAGACACCTCCAGATACCACCCAAGACCCCTTTTGTAACAAGGAAGGCAATTTCAATTTTTCAATGAAAATAGGCCTGGGGTCCAAGTAGTATTGCTGGAAATCCTCAGGCACTCAACTGAAGAGCAAAATCAAGGACTTGGGAGAATTTTTTCTCTCCTGGGGTTTGTCCAAGATTGTAATCCTTGTTGTAAATTGTTTTCCATTTCCTCAAACATGTTACATTTATTTAGCATATGGCAATGTTATATTAGCCAGGAGACTACACTGCTAATGCAGAATAGGAGTTCGGCCAGCTGTTTGCTCGCTGTTTGGTTCACACTTGGGTGCTTCCCAAGGTGCACCACAAGAGGGCGGACTAGTTCCACATCAGAAAAAAAGATAAGTGGCTTTCCTGCAACAGCATCTGAGGCTCTCTGTTCCACCAAAGCTGCCTCACAAACTGGAGTCGCAAAGTAGAAGGTACAGCACCGGTGGGATTCTGTCTATCTGCATGAAGCACAGGCTCAACTTCCCATCAGAGAGGTACCTATTTATCCACTCACATAGAACGTGTTTTTAAATTGCTAGGTGGACAGAAGCTGAGGTGAGTGATGGGAGTTCACCCTGCCACACAATACTAGGACTTGAACCGCTGGAACAAAGACCATCTCCAACATTAAGCCACTGAGCCATCATGCCTCTACTCCTCAAACATAGAAAGTTGGAGTATGGATAGAATTCATATGGGATTTGTGCAGGGTTTGTCCCCTGGATTCCTGGGGCTATATGATGTGATACTGGGAAGTCTTATGAATGTGGTTTTGGTCACTGAAATTGGGAGGCAGCACACAAATTGAGGGAATAAATAAAATCATATGAGATCCACCTTGTGGAAAACCAGGGTGATCCCCACGTATCTTCAGAATCTTCTCCAGGTGTTCATTGGCCATGACTCAACCTTGAAGTTTGAATTTTAATATTTTAATCTTAAATAATAGCCTATTCAGCCAGCTGCTCTGCAAAGAACCAGCTTCCTGCATCACAATATTTATTTATAGTGTGTATGGTTTTATGTCTATTTGCCTACCAGCTCCCAGAATCGCACTATGAGGGAGGTGGATGGTTTTTTAAATAGCATATAATTAATTAAACAAATGAATAAATACTAAATTTGTTGTTTTACAGCTGGTTATGCTGGCCCCATGGGCAGGTTCTTCACAATCATTTTTGCCCTTTTGTGAGTGCACCCAAAAGTTGTTCCAAACATTCCAACTGTGTAAAGAAGGCAGAGAGTTTGCGTCTTAGGGTTGAGGAAGAAGGCACCATAACACAAGCAGAAATCAACTCACATGTAAATGAAGTAGAGGCTGAGAACAATGTGGGCAAGACTTCAAAATCAGCTTGTTTGGAAGTTGTTCAGAAGGGGGTGGGACTAAAGTGGATCCATCACTCTAAGACCCTCCCAGTTGGAATTGAGGGCAGGAAGAGGAACAAGTCTGCAAAGGTATTTTCTCCTTACTTACTCATCCAGATGATCCCAGACACCAGAAGAATGAAAGCAGCCACAGTGGCCAATGTGACTCCTACATGGAGTGTCCTGTTGGCTAAAAGAAGAACAAAGTCTTCAGTTTTCAGGGCAATTATTGCTACCAAGATCTTAAGCTCAAGGACAGAGACTGGACATCCATTTTATCACTTGGGACAACCAAGGGATACTCATTACCATGAATTCCTCCCTAGCAGTTTCACTTTCTGCCAAAGAAGGACCCATTGCTCCTAGGATGGCAACTATGGAAACTACAACCATGCCTGGCCTTGTACCTAGGTGTGCCTTTCCCACTCTGCCATCCCCCAGTGCATTTAAACAAGGGTTAAGATGATGGGATCACCCACTCTTCTTCATTCCCATGACAAGAAAGCATTAATTATCTACAGGGTTACCAATTCTATACCTAAGATGCTATGTGATTGTTTAGTTTGTGGTTCAATACATCATCAGACGCACAAAGGTTGAGGTTGAGGATGGAGCAAACTAACACCTGGTGAATGTCTATGGAGATTCTCAGTCATCCAGGACATGGTTGTCCCAAAGGTGCTTTTTCAGGAGCTGTTTGCAAGGAATATAAATCCTTCCATTCCCCACCATCCAGTCAGACCTGAAGAAGCTTCTTGGATGAGAAGCAAAATGTCTTCAAAAAAAAAACAAGAAAGTCCAGTTGCCTCCTTTTAAAGCACCTTTGGGATAACACCTGGTGAGCTAATTGTTCTGTCTTTGCACCAATGGTTCTCTTTCTATTGCCCAATCCATCAGTCTCTCATCAGGTTCCTTCAGCCAAACCAAGACCAGGGACTTCACAAGCCTAGAATGCTCAGTGTGAGACAGGGATGCTTCCTACACTGCATCTCAAGACCTGGGATAGTCCATCAAATAATATATTTTTAAAATTCTTTCCACCATGGTTGAAAATTCTTCTTTACCTACCCTGGTCTTGCAGTTTCTCATCAGGCTCCTCCTTCCAGGCCAAGACCAGGGGGTCCTGCAAGCCCTCATGCTCCAGGTGACACCAGAAATGGTCCCTCTCCTTGGGGTCGATCTCAATGCTGAGCCGGACATAATAGGTCCCATCTGAGTTGGGGGCCACGTTCCTATGGAGGGTCTCGTACTGGCAGACCTCTCCATCCCTCATCCAGGTGGCCCGGATCTCCTTGGGGTAGAAGCCATAAGCCTGGCAGATCAGAGTCTCTATGGTGTCACTAACTACCTTTTGGGTCACCTGACGCACTGGGGGCTCTGCAAAGACAGCAACAGCACACCTCATAGGATCTCTCCAAACACCAAGACAATACAACATCTGGAAGAACCTCACAAAATTGCATCACTGCAACCCATCTTTCTTGAGTCTTATATAAGAATAACAGAATGTCAGATTTAGAAGGGACCTTGGAGATCTTCTAGCTCAACCCCCTGTTCAAGCAGGAGACCTTATACCACTTCAGACAAATGGTTGTCCAATCTCTTCTCAAAATCCTCCAGAGTTGGAAGATATGTAAGCTCTTCAAGAGGGGGACCTTGATATTGCCTAAATGACAATCCTACTAGGTCCATGGTAGCGAACCTATGGCATGCGTGCCACAGGCGGCATGCAGAGCCGTCTCTGGTGGCACGCAAGCCATTGCTGGGCCGAGCTGCTCCCTCCTCCTCTCCGCGCATGCACAGCCTGGGAATAGGCAAGAGGCTATAAAAAGAGCAATTTTCTGCAGAAGCAACATTTGCTGCAGACAGCTTGAGAGTGAGCACGAGTCAGAGTGGGCAGCAACCGAGCGAGCAAGTCAGAGAGGACAGCGAGTGAGTGAGAGAGTCAGAGCGGACAGCGAGTGAGCGAGCAAGCACAAGCTGACAGCTCGATGGCCATGCCCACTTGGTGGCTATGCCCACTCAGCACCCGACAATGCATAAGTGAGTTTTGCATTGCAGTTTGGGCACTCCGTCTCTAAAAGGTTCACCACCACTGTACTAGGTAGACTAGGGCAGAAAATCAACCATACAAAAAGGCTAAAACCACTTTTATAATAACGGAAGCTGATGCACTGTGCACCCTTTTCCATTTCTTCAGAATATAATCTGTCTGCTCTAGAGGTATGTTTCACTTTTTATTGTCCAAGTATCATGCATATGTCCATCAATGTTATCCTCCTTACCCTCTGCACTATTAGTGTTGCATATCAATGATTGCATGACCTTGGTAGATGTCATACGCTCAATAAAATAAATAAATGCCCTCTACACGAGGTTCGCTTTCATGCAAAAATGATTGCTCTCCCCTCAAGGGGAACTACAGATGTCCTCCCATCCCACCAGCAGCATTAAAAGGTCCAGCCAGGAAAATGATGTAGCTCTATTCCCCTACGCTTACCTATCCTCTGTAGAACTTCCTTACTGTAGGACAGGTAACTCTGCAACTGCTCAATACAGGTCTCCAGGTAGATTTTGTTTCTCTCAGACCACCCTGGGTCATCTTCCCACTTCTCCTTGACCTTCTCGGCCTGGGGCTGAGCTGTCACCCATCTGAAGGTCTCCTTGTCGAAGCTGATGAAGTCCATCCCGTCATAGCCATAGTGCAAAAAACCTCCTTTGCTCCCATCTTCCTTGAGCTCGCAGCCCAAAATTGCCTGCCAGGTGTGAAGCCCTGAAAGAGAGTTTAGGAGGACCACATTTTCACCCCAAGCCCCACCCCCACCTTCCAAAAAAGCTTATTATAGAGCCTCAGGTGGATTCTTTCCCCCTCCATTTCTTCTAGAGAAGGAACCATGAACTCTTGTCCCCCCCCCCCATCTTCTACAACAGGGAGAAAAGTGAAGAGGGCCTACACCAAACCTTTTGCATATCATGCAATGTATTTTGGGTGACGGAAAAATAATCTGGAGTTTTTCTTTCCTTCAGAGGAAAAATAAATAAATCACCACTATCTCCTTTCAACGCTGGAACCCCAAAAGGAAAACAAAAAACAAAAATGCTGCATTTTGCAGTCTCTAGGTGGGCCAGATGCTCCTTTCTCGCTTCCTTGTGAGATGGGGATATGTTTCCTCACCCACCCGCTCTATTCATTTCTCCCTTGGGATAATAAGTCAACTGGAGGAAGGAAGGAAGGAAGGAAGGAAGGAAGGAAGGAAGGAAGGAAGGAAGGAAGGAAGGAAGGAAGGAAGGAAGGAAGGAAGACAAAGAAACCTCCATTTTGCCATACGCTCTTCAGCTCATGTCGGAAGACCTGCTCAGTAGCCAGCAACATCTCATTCCCTTCTTTCCCCTGCTTGGGATCCTCCTTCTCCATCTTCTCCATCCAGGACACCAAAGGCTCCACCCTCCTGGTTTGGCTGTCATAGCAAGCAATGGGTTGGTCATCCAGGTAGACCTTTGAGAAGAATTGGGGCAGCTGCAGGTTGGGCTCTGACACCTGCAAGTAGGAGAACCATAGGGAATGTGAAAGGGAGACTGGGAAGGAAGAAGAGAGAAAGGGATTTATTTGTTTGTTTGTTTGTTTATATAAAACACTACAAGTTTGTGTTAGTTTCTCCCATTTCATCTGGACAGCTGCTACACACTTCCCTGACACTCTACAACTGATTTGGGGCTCAGATAGAACCCTTCCTATTCTGGAACCATGAATTGAGATGCATTATAGTTCTGATCCAGATAGCATAAACTCCATGAAAATGGTTTTAAACAAATATTTGTTGCCCAGGAATTCTAAGCAGACACTTACTTTGCTGTAGATGCATCCAGTCATATTCATATCTGTCCATTCTCGTAGGAAAAAAGGAATAATTCCCCATCTCAGCTAGGCATGGTTACGGATGCCAATCGATGTGCGCGTGATGCTTGATTAAAACAAAGGCTTTTACAAACCTGGCAGGTAGCCAGGACATCCAGTAATAAACTTTGAAGCCCCTCCCACTGACTAGATAAAATATAGGACTGACTAACAACTAGACTACATTTCCCAGAGGCCATCTCTTAAGGAGACAGCATTTAACCCTAATGAGGAGGTGATCAGCTGCCTGGGAAAGCCAAGGGAAATCATCAAAACAATTAAAAAACTAAAATTAGAATATTTCGGACATGGGATGCGACACCCAGAAAAATATGGCATACTCCATTTAATCCTCCAGGGAAAGATTGAAGGCAAACAAGGTCCAAGCAGAAGAAGAACATTGTGGCTTCAAAATCTAAGGGATTGGTTTGGACAAAACTCAGCAGCACTTTTTCATGCGGCTGCTGATAAAAACAGGATCGCCAACATGATCACCAATGTCCCATAACACATATGGCACAAGAAGAATTTAACCCTTTAAATGCTAAATGTTCTAACACAGCTCTTAACTCCTAAGCTAGCTATATAATGGACCAGATGGCTAAACCCTGGTCCAGCACACTTCCAGCCCAAAGAATTTTCTGGATTTATGGAGAATTTGGGAAATTAACCCACTTATCCACTGGACAGCCGCTCCTTGTGAGAAGATAGCAAAACCGAGGTTTGTGCAGTCAGCTTGTGAATCAAGCGGATGAGATGCAAGGCCTACATCAAATTTTCAGCTCTGGAGTAGCCAGTACAGATAATCCTTGACTTATAACCATTCATTTAGTGACCATTTGAAGTGACAACAGCACTGAAAAAATGTGACTTATGACCATTTTTTCACTCTTACAACTATTGCAGCATCCCCATGGACTAGTGTCTGTGGTATAAATAAAGCTATGTTCAGTTATTATCTGTATGGTGTATTCTATAATTTGCATTTGATGTGCCATAAAAAAATTACTTGGGGAAACAAAGACAAAACACAGAGAAGGGATCTGGAGAATTGTCTGCAGAGAAAAGTCCCAGGAGATTCTAGGACAGTGGGCAAAATTGGGAAATCAGAAAGATATCCAGGAAGAATGAAGTGATAAACCATTTCTGTATCATTGTCCCCCCCCCCAAAAAAAATCCTCCATGCAATAAAGTCAACAGGACTCAAGCTGGACCTGAGGGAAACAAGTCCTTTTGCTCAGGTAGACCAAGGTATTGGCATGGATGAGGCTGCCAAGGTGAGACCCACTTGTGAATATCAGGTGTGTTGCTGGAAAATAGATTTTTTTTCCTCAAGATTTAATCTTGAATTTTTACCTGCAAGATGGAGAACTGACTGAGGAAGAAATGAGACTACCTGCCCTGGCTCCAGCCTGCCACCACCTGTGACGGTGTTGTCAAGATTGAATACTGCAGCCAATTTTGGTCACCGTATCACAAAAAAGATGTTGAGAGTTTGGGAAAAAAAATCAGAGAAGAGCAACTAAGATGATCAAAGACTAAAACATACGAAGAACGGCTGCAGGACTTGGGTTTGGCTAATCTAAAGAAAAGAGAAATAGGGGAGACATGATAGCAGTGTTCCAGTATTTGAGGGGCTGCCACGAAGAAGAGGGGGTCACGTTATTCACCAAAGCACCAGAGGGCAGGACAAGAAACGATGGTTGGAAACTGATCAAAGAGAGAAGCAACCTGGAATTAAGGAGAAACTTCCTGACAGTGAGGACAATTAACCAGTGGAACAGCTTACCCCCAGAAATTGTGGGTGCTCCATCACTGGAGATTTTTAAAAAGTTAGACAGTCACTTGTCTGAAATGGTATAGGTCCTCCTGCTTGAGCAGGGGGCTGGACTAGAAGACCTCCAAGGTCCCTTCCAACATTATTATTATTATTATTATTATTATTATTATTATTATTATTATTATTATTATTCTATTCTAGTCTTTCTTCGATCATTCCTCAGCTTGACATTCAAGTGAGAGGAGGGAGCAGAGAAATGAAAGGCTAAGCTTTTGTCTACAGACCATGAGAGCCTGAACCTCACCAAGGTCACCACAGCAGGTGCTAGACGAAGATATGGATTGTTCCCATAACAAAAGGGAGTTTTATAATTGGACCATGTGAACACCCAGGGGTGGAGAGAAAAGGGAATGTATTGTTTAACTAAGTGAGCATTTGCGCAGCAAAACCAGAGGTGGTTTTGCTTCTGCAGTACCAAGATGGTGTATCCAATAAAGTTATACTCTTGGGAATTCAAAGCTTCCAAGAATATTTATTTCTTTTGGATTTTCTAGTCAGACCGTTGCCAGTGTCAGAGGGTGAAGGGAGGAGGACAGGCATTGAACAGATGGGCAAAAGGACAAAGTGCCACCCATAGCAGATTGTTGCTAGGGAGAATGCAAATATACTGAGTAGTTTTCAGTTTAATTTGCATCTGTTGCTAATAATAAAATTGGATATCCAGATCCCAAAAGCTACACTCCCAATACAGCCAAGAAAAATTGTATAACTTAAAGTTTCTTTATTTATTTAGTAAACTTCAGGAAATACTAAACACTGAACAAAACTGAAGGCAGGCAAAAGCAGGAGGAGATAGAAACAGGCATGAATGAAAAGGGCAGAAGAATTCTAATAACTAGTTTATATCTTTATCAACTATCTATATCTCTATATCTATCTACATACCTACCTACCTATCTATCTATCTATCTATCTATCTATCTATCTGTCTGTCTATATCTATCTATCTATCTATCTACCTATCTACCTATCTACCTATCTACCTATCTACCTATCTACCTATCTACCTACCTATCTATCTATATCTATCTATCTACCTATCTATCTACCTACCTATCTACCTACCTATCTATCTATCATCTATCTATCTATCTATCTACCTATCTATCTATCTACCTATCTACCTATCTATCTACCTAGCTACCTAGCTACCTATCTACCTATCTATCTATCTATCTATCTATCTATCTATCTATCTATCTATCTATCTACCTATCTACCTTACCTATCTACCTTTCTATCTACCTACCTGCCTACCTATCTATTTATCTACCTATATACCTATCTATCTACCTACCTACCTACCTACCTATCTATCTATCTATCTATCTATCTATCTATCTATCTACCTATCTACCTACCTACCTACCTACCTACCTACCTATCTATCTACCTATCTACCTACCTACCTACCTATCTACCTATACCTACCTATCTACCTATCTACCTATCTATCTATCTACCTATCTAGGGTTTCCTGCCTGAGCAGGGGGTTGGACTGGATGACCTCCAAGGTCCCTTCCAATTTTACTATTATTATTATTATCAGGCCAGCAGCAAGTCCCCTAGCAACTGAGAAGGAACCCCCCCACAGGATTCTAGTCCTCAGTACCTGAATGCCAGGCAGGGGCAGGTTGTCTCGACATCTTCCCACAACCACCCTGGCAATCAGCTAGCTGATCTCATCAGCCTTTGTGATTTCTCCTCTTCTTTTTGTGCCTCTGTTTGCTGATCATCATCAGCAGAACTGCAGGCACACCAAGCCACTAAATCCTATGCCACAATACCACAATATTGTTACTATTAGCATTAATATTGTTACTATTAGCATTATTATTATTATTAGCTACTCACATCCACACTGCCCCAGCAGGATGACCAAGGTGGCCACGGTCCTCAAGCCCATTAGGGCCAGCATGCACACAATCTCGGATGCCAGGCAGTAGAATATTATATTGTAGGGAAATTAAGTGTTTATCTAGCCCTCCCAAAACAAGAACCCCCTTCAAATCCCCACCTGCCTGCCTCCACTCAGAGGCTGGCTGGGCTCCGTACTGGTTTTTCACCTCCTTTCTGCCCCTTTTGGAAATTGCCTTTCTCCCCCCCCCCCCTCTGGCCCAGCCTTTCCCTGCTCGCAACTGAATGGGCCCCACCCACAGTTTCTCTCAATGGCTACTCGCTGATGATGCAAAGGAGCCAGATTGGAGGGGGGGAGGGGAGTGGTGAGCCTTCTAAAGTTGCCAAAGAGTACCAAGGAAGAGCTGGAAGAGCATTGTGACTTCCCAAGGCATGAGTTGTTTGTATACGTTTTGGAAGGGACCGTGTGTCTTATAGGAGAATGACAATGTTGTTATCCATAACCTATAGGATAATGATGACGGATAACGTCACCATCATCCCGTAACACAGACAGGCGATTCTATGGGCTCCGCATCTTCCGATCGTGTATACGTCTTTGAGTTGTTCCTTGCTCTGGCTGGTGACTTGTCACGTGCACAGTTGCCAGGATGACTCCAGGGCTCATAATCACAGAAGACTGAATCAACGGCCAGTGAAGCAAACTAAGCCTGCCTCCCTCCTATTGTTGATAGACTCACATGTTGGAAGCAGTAAAGAGAGACTGAGATGAAGCTTGCCAGATTGTGGACAAGGAGCCAAAGGAAACGGAGAACTTTAAGAGGAACAGGCTCCTAATGGACAGCATGAAACAACCTCCCCATCTGCCCAAGACTAAATATTTGTTAAGCACTTTGATCCTGACTGAGGTCCTTCTCAGCGCCATGATAGTAGTCTTCCGATATCTCAGGGGTTGCCCCAAAGAAGAGGGAGTCAAGCTATTCTCCAAAGCACCTGAAGGCAGGACAAGAAGCAATGGATAAAAACTAACTAAGGAGAGGAGCAACCTAGAACTGCTAAGAAGAAAATTCCTGACAGAACAATTAATCAATGGAACAATTTGCCTCCAGAAGTTGTGAATGCTTAATCCTGGAAGTTTTTAAGAAGAGATTGGACAACCATTTGTCTGAAATGGTATGGTTTTCTACCTGCGCAGGGGGTTGGACTAGAAGACCTCCAAGTTCCCTTCCAACTCTGTTATTCTATTCTATTCTATTCTATTCTCCATTCTATATTCTATTCTATTCTAGTCTAGTCTAGTCTAGTCTAGTCTAGTCTAGTCTAGTCTAGTCTAGTCTAGTCTCCATTCTATATTCTATTCTATTCTATTCTATTCTATTCTATTCTATTCTATTCTATTCTATGCTCCATTCTATATTCTATTCTATTCTATTCTCCATTCCATATTCTATTCTATTCTATTCTATTCTATTCTATTCTATTCTATTCTATTCTCCATTCCATATTCTATTCTATTCTCCATTCTATATTCTATTCTCCATTCCATATTCTATTCTATTCTCCATTCTATATTCTATTCTATTCTATTCTCCATTCCATATTCTATTCTATTCTCCATTTCATATTCTATTCTATTCTATTCTATTCTATTCTATTCTATTCTAAATCCAAAGTTGCTGTCCAGGTGCTGAAAGTCTGGAAAAAAGACGAGGAGGCAACATGGGAAGCAAGAGAACTGGAGTAAAGATGATTTACATTATGGAGAAGCAAAGTAAATTCTCAGTCTGGATTCGACATAACAATAGTTCGATTTCTCTGGTGGATTTAATGTATTTAATGTATTTTTGCTTGCGTTTTCTTATCATTTTCTGAGCCAGAAGGGACAAGCGTGAGGTCAGTGAGGTACACACAAGCACGAGTCATTGCCATGGTTGGGCGCTGAAGGCAGAACTCTTGCAGGTCTCTCTGGAAGCCCAGAAATGGAAATAGAGAAACCTTCATTCATTTCAGCAGGAGGAGGAGAAGCAAAGGCAAGGAACAATTTTACGTCTTCTAAGCTCTGGTCTTTATTCTTTTCTTGTTCTCCGTTGTCCTCCTGCCAATAGAGAAACAGCTTCGGTGAAGGGGGAGTGTTCAAGAAACACTGAAATTAACCAGGAGGCACTCTGAACCAATTTTGAAAGAAACCCTATAAAATTAGGGAATCCTACCGCTCTGCTTCCTTCCAATTTCCCAACGGCTTTTTCAGTTGCTCTTAAGAATTGGATGGTCAGTCACCAGTCCCCCAAAACAAAAGGCCACAATCTATAACTTTTGCTGGGGGTGGGAGTAATAACAATAATAATAAAGTTGGAAGGGACCTTAGAGGTCATCAAGTCCAACCCCCTGCTCAGGCAGGAAACCCTATACCGTTTCGGACAAATGGCTGTCCAGTCTCTTCTTAAAAACTTCCCGTGTTGGAGCATTCACAAGTTCTGGATGCAGGTTGTTCCACTGATTGTCAGGAAGTTTCTCCTTAGTTCTAGGTTGCTTCTCTCCTTGATTAGTTTCCATCCATTGCTTCTTGTCCTGTCTTCAGGTGCCTTGGAAAATAGCTTGACTCCTTCTTCTTTGTGGCAGCCCTGAGATATTGGAACACTGCTATCATGTCCCCCCTTGTCCTTCTCTTCATTAAACTAGACATACTCAATTCCAGCAACCATTCCTTATATGTTTTAGCCTCCAGTCCCCTAATCATCTTTGTTGCTCTTCTCTGTACTCTTTCTAGAATCTCAGCATCTATTTTTACATCGAAATGACCAAAACTGGATGCAGTATTCCAAGTGTGGCCTTACCAAGGCATTGTAAAGTGGTATTAATACTTCACATGATCTTGATTCTATCCCTCTGTTAATGCAGCTCAGCACTGTGTTGGCCTTTTTGGCAGCTGCAGCACACTGCTGGCTCCTGGCTCCGAGAGCATGGGAAATGGCCCAGGACAGACTCCAGGGAAGTACAGAGGCCCTGGCTGAGTGGATGAGTGTTTGTGGCGTCTGCTTATATGTCCGTGCGTGTGGATGTGTCCGTGTGTGTTTGTGTCTCAACAGCCATATCTTAAATCCTTGTGTTCCGGGGCTTCACAGCCGGTGGAAGCCTTGCCTTGGGGCTCTTGTATCAGGCTCCCAGAAGTTGTCCAAGGACTCAAGCGGCTTCAAAAACAGCAGTGAAAGGACGTGGGAAGAACCCGCGAATGGGAGACATGCATTCTGAGGAGGAGGGGGGAAGTTTAGGGGGAGGGGAAGAAAGGGGGAAGGAGGAGGGGGAGGGGGAGGACAATGGGGAAGGGGAAGGGAAAGAGAGGAGGAAGGGGAGGGGGAGGAGCAAGGAGGAGGAGGAAGGGAAGGGGAAGAGGAAGCGAGGAAGAAGGGAAGGCAAGGGAGGAGGTGAAGGAGAAGAGGAAGAGGAAGAGAGGAGGAAGGGGAGGATGGGAAGGGGAAGGGGAAGAGGAAGAGAGGAGGAAGGGGAGGATGGGAAGGGGAAAAGGAAGAGGAAGAGGAAGAGAGGAGGAAGGGGAGGAGGAGGGGAAGGGGGAGGGGAAGAGGAAGAAAGGAGGAAGGGGAGGAGGAGGGGGAGGGGAGGGGAAGGGGAAGAGGAAGAGGAAGGGGGGGAGGAGGGGAGGGGAAGGGGAAGAGGAAGAGAGGAGGAAGGGAAGGGAGGAGGTGGGGAAGGGGAAGAGAGGAGGAAGGGGAGGAGGAGGGGAATGGGAAGAGGAAGAGGAAGAGAGGAGGGGAGAAGGTGGGGGAGGAGAGGAGGAGGAGGGGGAGAGGAAGAGTTGAGGAAGGGGAGAAGAAGGGGAAGGGGAAGAGAGGAGGAAAGGAAGGGGAGGGGGAGGGGGCGAGGGGAAGTTGGTTCGAGTTTGGGCACAGCCAAGTGACGGGGACCGGCACGGAGAAACGCTCAGCAGAGTCCGGATTGTTCTTCCTCCCCCCCCCCCTCAACAAACGCAAACGTCACTTTTTAACTAACATTGTGACGCAGTTAAATGTATAAATTACGTAGTGGAGGAAAAGTTATTGAACGGGGCTCAGCACAGCGCAAGGACGCGGAGGGAGTGTCTGCTGGGGAAGGAGCCACTCCGTGGGAGACGCGGCCCGACCCAGATGCTTCTACCCACCTTCCCCCCACAAATTGTGTGTCCTGGGCGGCTTCCTGGACTCCCGGCCCCAGGAGCAAGTGGGGCGCCGGGCACAACACCATCGCCCCCATCTCAGGGGCCGCCGATGGTCACCAAATCTGAACCCAGACCCTCCTCCAACTCCAACTGCCCCCTCCGGCTCAGCACCGCTCTCCCCCTTCTGGTCCGGTCCATCCGGACTCCGAACGCGGCCCGAGAACGAATCAAGCCCCTTCAAATGGAGCGTCTTTGCTTCGGAGCGACTCCGGATTCGCCCCCCCCCCGGGAAGACAGCGACCCCTGAGACCGTTTTGATCGCCATGAGGACAGCATGAGAGAACCTAGAACTAAAGGAGAAAATTCCCAACGGTGAGAGCGACCAACCAACGGAATAGCTTTCGCCTTCAGAAAAAGCGACCGGGCGACCATTTGTCTGAAATGCTATACTCTGGGTCTCCTGCTTGAGCAGGGGGTTGGACTACAAAACCTCCCAGGTCCCTTCCAACTCTATTAGTCTAAATGGCCCCGCGCGACAGCCGGGGATGTCCCTGAAACCAAATGCCTAGAAAGTGACGCGACTGCCAAACCGACTCTTGGGCTTGAAAATTAGAGATTGAAAAAGTAAATTTCTGCCGAGGGAGATGGGTGGGAAAGAAAGAAAGAAAGAAAGAAAGAAAGAAAGAAAGAAAGAAAGAAAGAAAGAAAGAAAGAAAGAAAGAAAGAAAGAAAGAAAGAAAGAAAGAAAGAAAGCAGAAGGAAGGAAGGAAGGAAGGAAGGAAGGAAGGAAGGAAGGAAGGAAGGAAGGAAGGAAGGAAGGAAGGAAAAGGAGGAGGGAGGGAAAAGAAAGAAAGAAAAGAAAAAGAAGAAAAAAGGAAGAAAGGAGGGAGGGAGGGAGGAAAAAAGAAGAGAAGGAGGGAGGGGAAAGAAAGAAAGAAAGAAAGAAAGAAAAGGGAGGGAGGGAGAAGGAAAGAAA